TGGTATTTCTCCATTTCCCCAGTAAGTTTTTGGTTTGCGCTTACCTTTGCAAGCCTTTGGTTATTTTACCCGCGTTTTCTTTGTCGTTAGAGTGTGAGTAAGAGTCGGTGTATAATCTTTCTTGCTTCTCAAGTGTTTGAGTATCCATACTTGGTATGTGGTAATTCAGATAATTGCCACTTTTGAAGAATTGACACCCCGCTTTGGCTTGAGGGATTTTTTGTAGTCCTTGTGTATCTGCAACTTATCAAAAGCCCAGTGTGTTTTTGCAATCTTTGTTACAGTCTACTTTGACCAATCTCTTTCTCTTGTAAAGTTCACCTTCGATCAGTGCTCTTTAAAGGTCCTGCTTAGTCGGTTCCTTGTTTTGGTTTATCCGCGTTAGTAGGGTCCTCCTTTCGTTAGCCTAGCTAACTTTTTATGATTAAGAGTCTTTCAATGTCTCTTCAAAGTCCAGTTGTCTGGCGCCCTTGTTTAGGCGAATGCGTCTTTTTTATTGGGGCTTTCTTCGGTTAGTCTCGTTCCTGTGTTCGCTAGCAATTCTAAACATTTGTTTCTTGATGATCAACTTCGCTCTTGTGTATCTAACTCTGACCAAGATATGCATACCTTTATCATTTGTTGAGAGTCCCCTTCAGCTGGTCTCTTTGCAGTTATAAGTTCGCCTTCGACCGACGTTCTTTTCTTAGGAATCTACCTTCGGCATAGTATTCTTGGATGAAGATTCCCCTTCGGCTGGTTTCTTTATCCTAAAGTCCACCTTCAGCTGGCATCCTTTAAAATCCACCTTCGGCTGGTATCATTTGTTGAGAGTCCCCTTCGGCTGGTCTCTTTGCAGTTGTAAGTTCGCCTTCGACCGGTGTTCTTTTATTAGGAATCTACCTTCGGCATAATATTCCTGGATGAAGATTCCCCTTCGGTTGGTTTCTTTATCCTAAAGTCCACCTTCGGCTGGCATCCTTTAAAATCCACCTTCGGCTGGTATCATTTGTTGAGAGCCCCCTTCAGTTGGTCTCTTTGTAGTTGTAAGTTCGCCTTCGACCGACGTTCTGTTCTTAGGAATCTACCTTCGGCATAGTATTCCTCGATAAAGATTCCCCTTCGGCTGGTCTCTTTATCCTGAAATCCCGCTTCGGCTGGTATCTTTCAAAATCCCGCTTCGGCTGGTATCTTTTGTTAAAATCCTGCTTCAGCTGGTACCCTTTGTTAAAATCCCACTTCGGCTGGTATCTTTCAAAATCCCGCTTTGGCTGGTATCTTTTGTTAAAATCCCGCTTCGGCTGGTATCTTTCAAAATCCCGCTTCGGCTGGTATCTTTCTAAAAAACCCCGCTTCGACTGGTATCATTTGCTAAAATCCATCGTCGACTGGTATCATTTTTCAAGAGTCCCATTCGTTTGGTCTCTTCCCTCAATAAGTTCACCTTCGATTGGTGTTTTCATTGTAAGAGCTTTCTTCGGTCTGTCTCTTTCATACGTATCTGATACCGACCACGGATATGTATTTTTGATACCTGTTTCATATGTCTGCTACCAATCCCAGACATGTGTTCTTGATATCTTTGTAAGGGCTTTCTTCGGTCTGTCTCTTTCGTACGTATCCGATACCGACCACGGATATGTATCTTTGATATCTCTTTCGTATGTATCCGATACCGACCACATATATGTATCTTTGATGTCTCTTTTGTGCGTATCCGATACCGACCACAGATATGTATCTTTTCTATCTCTTTCTTACGTATCCGATACCGACCACGGATATGTATCTTTTTTATCTCTTTCTTACGTGTCCGATACCGACCATGGATATGTATCTTTTCTATCTCTTTCTTACGTGTCCGATACCGACCACGGATATGTATCTTTTCTATCTCTTTCTTACGTGTCTGATACCGACCACAAATATGTATTTTTGATGTCTCTTTCTTGCGTATCCGCTACCAACCCCGGATATGTGTCTTTGATACTTTTTTTCGTATGTTTGCTACAGACTTCAGGCATATATCTTTTGATAGCTTACAAGTGTTTGTTACTAAATCCCAACAGATGTTCCTTGATAACCAAGTTATTCTGCTGTGTGTCAAACCCTGGTTAAACATACATCTAACCTGATAACCTCTTTTACCTAGCAAAAAAATAAATACAGAAAGACCAAAAATAATGATACCTGACTGGCTTCGAAGTGCAAATTTTCGGGTTCTTTTAGTATTTAATCTTCTTCTACCTTGAAAGTTCGAAAGGCTGGCGCCAATCTCACCTTCAGGTTGAAGGCGATTAAATAGGGGCAGCTGTTGCACCCAAAAATTTGCCCTCCTAATTTCACTTTTAGGGCTTAGACTTTTTGCATTCATCCACATCATTCCAAGGGGTCATTTGCATAGCACACATTTTTCATAAAATAGATCGCCTGAGGTTCAAAAGATCAGCAGTTAGGAAGTTAGGGTTTACAGCTAATTAAAGGTGTATGTGTTGAATAAGTTTGATTATCCAGGGTCTTCTCGGTGTATAAAGTTTTGGAATTAAGGTTTTGGTTCAGGCTCATTTTTGGACTTCTTCTCCACCAAGTTACATGGATAATATCTTCTGATAGACAACCGATTGTAGGTCATTCTGGTAAAGAACTCCAGGACGTGACCTAGCATATGGGGGCTTCGAATCATGGCGTCATTTCCTATAAGTATGCTTGTCATTTGATTAGGATTAATGACTGTGACATGACAATCATCTACTCCTCAGTTAATCAATTTAGGTTTTCTTGAATCATGGTTCAAATATGTTTCATCGGATATTTCTTTGTGCATCTAAACCGAGGAATCAAGATTGTGAGACTTTATCATCCATCTGTAAGATGTTCCTTATGGCACTAATTTCAAGTTGAAATAACCGATCATTAAGGGCCGGGGATTGAATTGTGAAGCGCGGTTCATGACCTAAGATATGAATTCGTGGACTTCTCCTTAACCAAGGCAATTATTGTCCTCATCATTGTCATTTGTTATCTGCGATGCGAGCGGACTTGGATTGAAGTAGGCTTCTCGTGGAAGAATTCATGCAAAGTAATTCAAGGTTCAAGGCATTCAAGGTAGGGTTTGGTTCAACATGGCATACCTGGTTGATGGGCTTACAAGCTCTTATGAGACCTAGAGATGCATAATCAGGGGCCAAGTTCAAAGATACGTGGATAAGATTTGTTGACTTCGGTTAAAGTAAGCTTTGAACAATTAACTCTCGGACCAAGGTCTCCCTCGAACTTTCATCTAATATGTGTTAGGCATTCAAGTTGCACTTGAAGAATGGTATGGAAAAAGGAAAAGAAATATTGGTTCAAAAAAGGAAATTTCATTAAAAATCAGGGTTTCTATTCATTGATAAACGTTCGATCATGTGGGCTATGAATTTAGTGTTGCCAAGCGATCAATTGGTATGATTTAAGATTCTGGTTCATGGATTCCCTATGGCGATTGATTCGTCAAGGATCAATACAAGGGGGGCATTAAGATTTCTTGAGGATCCACATTTCGTCAATTCAAAGAGGTGTATTTGGCTTGGATTACAAGGTGTGGACAATATGAATTTCAATATTGAATCCGACTTTTCTATGAAATTCAAGCACGATGTGGCATTTAATTAAGGTCCAAGTCTTGATTCAAGATCTTGTTTTGAGTTATGAGGCAAGCGTCATGGTTAGTGCGAGTATTGGATTCATTTGCATTTTGATAACATAAAGCCAAGATTTTGATTGACAATATTATTTCAAGCATGTAATTGGAGTTCAACTATAGTGGAACTATGAAAGGAAACGGTGCAAAAGTCACAGGTGAAAGTCTAAGTCTGTTTGAAATGAATACATCATAAAGGATAATTTCGGCTTCTCAAACATTTGCAGGATACTTCACTCCTTATCAATCCAGTTACTGTTTAGAGAATTCTTTAAATAAAACAAATACCAAAGGGAAGGTTCTAGTTTGTATAAATGTATAGAATTCAACAGATTCAAAGAAGAAGAAAAAAGAGAGCAAAATAGTTTTAAAAAAAGAAGAAGCGGGTGGAGTTATCATGATACTTATTGATGAGACATATCAAGACGTTGTTGTCCCATTTTTGATCCATTATACTATTGTCAGAAAGAAAATAGGAGTAAAGATTCTATCCTATCTCAAAACTACAAGTAAGCCGATGTCAAGGATATTACAAGCAAAGACAGTAATAGGAGCTCAACCAGCACCGTGCATTGCAGCATTTTCTTCTAGAGCAACCGGAAACATGTTCAACATTCTCTCCGGAACTTCTATGGCATGTGCTCACGTAACCGGAATTGCCAACATTGGTCAAATCTGTTCGTCCTTCTTGGTATCCATCTACCATCAAATCCGCCTTCATGACAACTGCAACAATCTTTGATAAGTGCCACAAAACGATCAGTATAGATCCAGAACAAAGCAAGGGCCCTGCATTACCTGTTCGGCCCTGCATAGAAAGATAAAAAATAGAAAATTAATTAAACAGCTCATCAATCTCCTCCTAGAAACTTTATAACTCCATAACAAACTCATAACAACCCCTAACTCTCTATAACAAACACTAAAAACAACCCCTAGCAAACTACTAACAGAATTTCCAACAAACTACAAACAGAACTAACCACCTAACCGCTTTTCTACCCCTGCTAACTTCCAAACAGAATAACTAACTGCTCTAACCGAATTCATCTCAACCATTCATTAGCTAACCAACTAATTCAAACCAAGGGCTCAGATGCACTTACCTCTAACAAACTTTTGCAGATCCTAACTGATTATATAAACTGGTTCTGTCATCAATAACGGGTATTCTTCGTTCTTCTAAGAATGGATGCAATCTTCATCCTCTTGTCTCTTTGTAATTCCCCATTATCTTCAGCAATCTTGCATCATCTTCATCAAATATTCAATATCCATCATCATCATCATGCTCCATCATCTTCTTCAATATGTCGTCACTCTCAACATTGTTCACACATCAATGATCATCTTTCATCTCAGCACGTTGCAAAACTTCTTCCACTACAAGCAACAACATCATCATCATTTCGAAGTCTCCTGTAAATGCAGCTTGTTTCATCTTCGTCATCAATAACATCATAATAATAACACCAAAAGCAGAAGAAGAAAGGAGGGAAAAGATTCACATTCATCATTCAACACTTTCACAAAAAACTCACCAGTCTCAAATTCTCCGCAACTTCCTTTGAATTCTCTTTGAATTTCTCTACAAGTTCATCATCTTTATCCCCTCTAAGATCTCTGTGACTGCATCCTCTTCATCTCAGCATCATCGCGATAATCTGCATCCGGAATAATTTCAACGCACATCGAAGTTCAGAATCACAAAACAAAGAAGGGGGAATATCAGAGGAAAATCAGTTATAAAGAAATACTCTCTACCTCTTCTCTCTTCTTGATCTCCATATTTTTTTCTGCATCTTCAACCTTTTTGTGACTGGTTACCATCACTATCTTCATAAGCAGCCTCCCTGCAACTGCGTTATCTTCATCGATTCTCCAATCATTGGAGGAAGAACACCAAAAACTCAAACTCTTTCTCTTTAAAACCAGTTCTTTGCTCCCCTCATCATCTTTCTCTATCCCAATCCTGTGAATATCAACAACAGCATATACATAATGAGATTCAGAACAGAATCATAAGAGGAGATGACAGAAAAGAAGAAGAGATTGCAGGATTTTTTTTATTGAAAAAAGGAGAAAAGTCAGAAAATTAGATATAGAAGAAACTCACCAAAAACTATTGAATCCACTCCCTCTGCAACCTCGCCATCTTCATCCTCCTCCAAGTTACCTGGAGCCTTCATTCCTTATTCCTATTTCATTATGAACTCACGCTCACACCATCAACAACACTGCAAGAACCTCATCGCTTCACCATTTTTCATCTTCGATCTTCAAAAAACTCCAATCCAAACCAATTGTCTACACAACAACAAAAACTTTGCACAAATAGAGTTTCACACAAGAAGAAGAATCACCACAAAATTCATAGAAAAATCTGCAATAAACTTCATATTTTCTTCTACACTCTTAACACTCTCCAATCTTCCTCAACCTTTAACTTGCTCCAACAGTTTCAACCTTCACCGGAACCGCAACAGCAACAACTCTTCGCACATCACATCAACGTCAATCTGCAACAACCACAACGAATTCTTCGTCTCTCTCAACAATAACACTGAAATGCAGAATACGCGTAGTAACGTAAACAGAAGAACAAAAATGCAGAAGGAGAAGAAGTATGAATCAGAGAGAAGAATTATAACAAAACGCATACCTGATTTCTCTAGTTTTCTCATCATCGAATCGAATCGAAAATGGGAAGGATGTTGAAAAGAGGCTGAATCAGTGAAGAGTGATACGAGTCGAAGAAAGATTGAGGATGATGAGACAGAGAGGCTTCGTTGCGGGCGAGACGGATTGGCGATGATGATGACGGTGAAATCGATTGCGAATTGATGATGTAGACGGAGGACCGGCGAAGAGAAAAGGAGAAAACCTCGGCGTAAGGGACCTCGTTCACGAAGAAGACGAGGCGACACTGTCTTGAATCCCTAGATCGTCCCTTTTCCTTTCAATTCTGAATTTGTTTATTCTATTTTATATATTTTTTATTAATTCAACAAATAAATATAATTATAATAGAATATTCTGATGATTAATGAAATTGAGAATGGGTTGAGGGATGCTACGGGTATGGATGGACCGAACCAATTGATTCCAGGACCCAACAAATTTTTTCTGGTTGCTTTTTGGTTTATTTACTATAAAAAAATTTCTTTTGGGTTTATTTTGATGGGCCTAATTTCATTCTATTTTTTTTCTTGCAGCATATATTGAATCCAGCTTGCACCTCCCGAGGTCTTATTTTCAATACTTATTTCGATTGCGTTTGCCATTAATTTTGGTGATTTAATTTCTTTGGTGATATTGGTAAATAAAAGAGATTTCTTTTCACTTTTCTAACTTTTTTTTCTTTTCAATTTTAATCATTAGTTTTACTCATTTTATGTCATGTATTTCGTTTGCGATTTTTGGTATGGATTGTATGCGATATTTTGATACTTGCTGCCTAATTTTACTTATTCGTATATTATTTCATGATTCCTTAGGAGATTTTGGTTCAAATTTAATCTTCGATTTAATTGAACTAAAATTAGACATTAGGCTTTCAAATCCAAGCATGCTAACATTAAGTAGACGTTTCCCTTTTATTCATCCTTGACTTAGGTCTAACAACGCATGATAAAATTAAGTTTAGAAATATGCTAGTCTCCCCTTGATTTTTCTTTATTTTGCATATGCACTAAAACTTTTTTTTTACAAACTTCAAAATACTAAAAATTTACTGACGAGAATCGTGCCTTCGTTGAACATGGATACGATAAGCGGGTCTCTTCTCGATCTTATCATTCTCTTGCTCTAAGCCTTGGCGTAATTCAAATCTTAAAGAATCATTTCATGAATGAGTAGAGAAACGACTAAAACCTCTCCCTTGAGATTAACTAGTTATCCTCTACAAGCAAAAATATCAACCAATACAAACTCTTGTGGCCTTCGGGCCTTCCTTTCAAAAAACCTTTTTCAAAAGAGCATATTAATTCACTTCTGTGCTGACGCGTAAATCTCCAAAGGTCGAGTTGCGACAGAAGGCGAAATTAATATCGTTCACTTAAAAACCTAAACCAAATTCAAACTTTTTGTGCGCCCAGGCACATTTTCTCCGAACCTTTTCAAAAGAGCATGTTAATTCACTTCTGTGCTGACGCGTAAGTCTCCAAAGGTCGAGTTGCGACAGAAGGTGAAATTAATATTGTTCAGTAAAAAATACAAACAAACAAAAACATATAAGCCGAACTACGGCTGCTCTGATTCCTCAAAACGGATATGTAGGCATTGGGGTAGGGCCCAAGCGAGCATAATTTTATTTTCCCTACATTCTTTTCCCTTTTCTTTTGCATGTGTTCTCCCTTTAGTAGTAATAAACAATAAGCATAGATTAAACACACCCATAAGATAGACAACAAGAGTGGATACCGTAGAGTACTACGGGCGTGTGGGGTGCTAATACCTTCCCCTCACGTAACAGACTCCCTTACCCTTATCTCTCGGTCGCAAGATCGTGACTTCTCCCTTATCAGGTTTTCTCAATGTTTACCTTTTCCTTCCCGTGGGATAAAAGACGTTCGATGGCGACTTCATTGTTTGATGATTTTCAGCTGGTTGTTTCATACCCCCCCCCCCCCCCGAACTCAAAAAACATCTCTAAAGGTCTTTCCTATGCTTTTTCACCTTTCCTTTTTGGATAAAAGAAAAGTCGGTGGCGACTCTTGCTAACCGCAACATTTGCGAACACAAAACGCAAAACCTCAAGTCAGTTCTTCCACCGTATCACAGAACTGGAGACTCTGCTGGGGACATATTAAAAGTGGGGTTACCTTAGGGTTAGATCACATTTACTTTCTTTCATTGTTTGATTTGCATGCTTTACATTATGGTTCTCTGTTTGGGCTTGCTTTAATCCTACACCCGGATTTGGGGACACCTTTTAGGTAAGTAGCAATAGACTGTGAGGGAACTGTGTGGGGTACACCGACATGGTTGAAGCAGTAGCTACGTTGATGTGGCACTTTGGTTGGTACCGGTAACCCTTGAGTTGAATCAAGGAGAGAACAGGGCCGCCGCGTGGTGTCATGAAGCATCAACTGACCTTAGAACCTTACTTGACCAACTTGGCCATTAGGACATAGTGAGATGACCGGTTTCGGTGTAGAGCTGAAAATTGGTTGATACTCGATACCACACTCATTGAGACCGGACTTTTAGGATATCTCGGCTGCAAGAAAAGATTGATTGAGCTGAGACAATGCCTAAAAGAAAGGTCAATGATATTGAGACCCCTTAGAACCCGGTTACTATTAACTAGGACAGGTTGAGCCAACTAAACTTCAAGAGGGTACTTACCTACAAACTCCATGCAAGCCTAAACCTAAGGATTTGTTTACTTTGTGTGAATATGATTATTTGTATGTAAATCTGCTTACCTCATATACTTGTACATAACATCATAACATCATACCATAGCATTTTCAATAACCATTTCAAGGGTCTTTGATGCAGGGTCACGTTGAACCAGACGTCTACCAAAGGGAAAGAGGATTTATTTTCCTCTAAAACAAACGCCGTCAAAAATCAAGTACAAACAACTTGAGTCAAGGGCTATGACCCACTTGACATGGTGAGCTTGATTCTCGTGGAAGAACATCCACCAATACAAAGTTCTCCAATCAAAGATGTTGATAAAAATTCAATCTCTAACTCTTTCTTGTGTTTACCTCGCGAGATCCTTGAAAACATTGCATATATATCATACATATCATTGCATAACAGGATTCATAACAGGTTTCTCATCTCCTCCGATGTTTATTTCAGCAATGGCTCTTGAACAAACAGTGAAAGACATCCAGGCTCAAAACGCTCAACTTCAAGAGATGTTCTTGAACCTATCCAAGGGGTATGAAGAGTTGAAAGCACTCCTCGCTGGGAACCTAGCCAAGAAAAATCCTGAGGGCAACAAAGATGATCAGTTGGAACAGCTACAAACCGAGATAGCCATAGTGAGGGTCCAAATGATGGGACAGCTGGTGGGCCAGATGGCTCTCATTCAAAACATGGCACAAGAACAAGAAGAGCTAAGGGTCCTCATCAAAAAGCTTTGTCAGGATGGATGTAACCAAATGGGGCAAACATCTAGAATTGGGGATCAAGTCATCATTCATCCTCCCTTGAGACAAGAAGTCGAGAGGAGACCTCCCCAATTTGCTTCAGCATCACAAACCCAGCAACAACCTCGCCAACAACAACAGGGTAATCGGCGTAAGCGGAACACAACTGAAAGGCATTTTACCAAAATCAACATGTCATTGTCTCAAGTACTGCAACACATATTGGAGGCCAAGCTGGTTACATTGAAAAACCCCTCTCAGAATCCCAACACAGCTTCTCCGAGGTACAATCCAAATGCAAGATGTGCGTACCACTCCAACAGTCCTGGACATGACACCAATAGCTGTTGGACATTAAGAAATAAAATTCAAGATCTGATTGAAGAAGGAACGCTGGAGTTCACACAAGATGGCCAGGCTGAATTCTCTTGCCAAAGGCACTTCACCCAAATCAACATGCCATTGTCACAAGCATTACAACACATGTTGAAGATGAATCTGATTACGCTAATAAACCCTCATCCGAGCCCAAAGACTTCCTCTCCTAACTATAATTCGGAGGCAAGGTGTGCTTATCATTCTGACAGCCCTGGGCATGATACAAATGATTATTGGGTGTTAAAGTATAAAATTCAAAACCTGGTGGACGAAGGAATGTTGGAGTTCACCTAAGATGGTCAGACTGAGTTCTTCTGTCATCCTTCAAAGGCTCACCATCTAAAGTGACAAGTTCAGACAAAGAGGCTTCTGCTCATTTTGAATTTTCAAGTTGTAATTTCTTTTGTTATTCAAACAATTACCTATTAATGTCAAAATTTGTTTCATTAATCCATTGCATATGTTTGTCTTGAATTATTTCATTTTCATTACATTTAAACTATGGTTTTTACTCTCTTTATGACGTTTAACTCTTGCTAAAAGTTACAAGCCTTTAGAGGGAGGATGACGAAAACAATGCCATAATCTCATACAATATGCTTTTGGACAGACCTTGCTGACGATGTACAGGCATTCTTTCAAATCCTAAACACTGGAGTTATAAGGAAGATAATCCCTAGTCAACCCCTTCGAGCCAAAGAAGTAGAAGTTTTCTGTTTTAACACAAATTGAAATCTTTAATCAAAACCTGGGCAGGGTAGTCTCTCAGTTAATTCAAACACGCATTAAGCCGCAAACTCTCATCTCATAATACAATGAATGACATCAAAAACATTCCTCTGGAATCAAAAGACGGTGATGGTTCCATACCACATAGGCAGACATTATCTCTCGAAAAAAGAAAATCCCACTAAGTCAAAACCTACGAAGGAGACTTAAGAAAACTGGGGCATCCCGCTGACTGTAATCTCAAAACAGGAACAGTCAGGAAAAAATTAGGGATAACAAATCAATTAAAAAGAGGTCACTACAAATCCTCAACAACATGAAAAAAATGTTGCAAAAAATTACTGCCTTCCAACAAACTTAACTTGTTTGAACCATCACCAAAACGTCATCCCAGACTCAATTGGAGTTCAAACGTACAATTAACTGAGCTTAGGACTAAAGATCATCACGAAGAACGGGTGGCTACAAAT